AAACTATGATCAATACTGCTGATGGATCTTGTTTATATGATTTTATAAGTTGAGGGATGTATCATATCCCATTTTTCAAACTGAGGATAAAAATCAGACTGAACGACATATTAAGGAACCTACAGTGATCTTATTCCTTCGATTGACGATTTGAGGTGACAGGTTTGGTGATTTCACGGGGCCTCACCTTTCGGCCTAGGATTTTTGCCGAGGATTTCTCGGTTGGGCCCGAGTAAACCGTGGGCCATTTGCTGCTCGCGTCTCGGAGGTGGACTCGGTCCACTCGGCCTAGTATGACAAGGCGCAAAGACGCCGAGCAGAGCCAGCCGCCAGCCGCCCGCGGGGTCGCGAGTGCACGTGAGCGGGCGGCGGCACGGACGCCACTTTTTACGCTCCGTGGCCGTGCGCACCGAGAAGCAAACCTCCTTCGCACGGCCTCCTCCTGCGGGTGGAGCGCCGAGCGCCGTGCGCCGCTGACTCCCAACTCCCAAGGCTTCACGCACGGTGCGATCTGAGTTTTGTGCTTCTCCTCGTTCATTTCCGATGCCGGCATGAGGACGGGACTCCGGGTCTCCGGCCAATGGTGGTGTGTGCCTGATTTATTAGTTCAGATGGATGGATCATGGATGCCGTCGGGCAGCTGCCCTGATTGTTTCAGAATTCGACAGTTCGCTGAACTTGCCTGCCAAACATGTGGCGCAAGCGCGAGCATCACCTGACCAATAAAACAACAAAATCTGCGCGACGCGTGCATGCGTTTATCTTCCTTACACACGAGGTCCTACAACGAGCAACTTTTGATATTGCCATCCAAAGAGGTATTCTTTCGCGTTGTCGGTTAGAGCAGAATATGCCCGGCTTCACCAGAAGCACAACTTCCATGTGGCTTGATTATGCTCTATAGTTAAAGGACTTATTTTTAGCTTTTGTTCCTAACGACTTTAAGCTTATGGTTGCCGGGGTGACAACTTGCTCAGCTTTGCTACTAGCGTATTGTTGACGTGTCCTGATAATGTTTACTAGACAGCTGAAGGATAGGCTCCTTTGTTATCAACTTATCAACAAATTTATGCCTCCATTTGCCGGTATAATAACTTTCTCGTAGTTAGTGTTTGTGGAAATAACGCTCCCATGTAACTACTGTTAACTACTACTCCCAAGTACACGTAATTCGCGCTAGGAACATTGCCGTGCTTGCAGAATGCAAATGATGTAGCCAACCTGATATTCAGAACTCAGTTTCTTCACCGATAAGCCCAAGAAAGGATAACCCAACTCAAGTGTGTGTGATCTTCTTTTTGCAGCTTTACCTTTGTTTGCATCGAATCCAGTCTCAGTGTCTATTTCTCTAGTTACAACCAATTCACTGTAATTATTGGACCTTTGCTTCATGCATACTGCCACATCTTTTTATGCTACTATTGTCTATGTTCTGACAAACCATCTGCATTTCCTAGCTGACACTCACCACCAGTCTTCTGCTACATGGTAACATCATTTACATGATCTCATTTCGCTTTCAAACAGTGTATAATTTAGAAGAGCCCAGCAGTTTCTGCATTGGCATAATATGTGCCATGTAGCTCCACATTTCTCTCTTTACATAGTGCCCAGCTTTATTTTATCATGTAAAGTGAGGTCCAGCAAGTGGATCCATCCTTTTACAGCTCATCAAAGCAAAGGAAAGTCTGAATTTTAGTTACCCCTCGTCCATGCTTTTCCAGCAAAGCTTTGATATAACTATACCACATGTCGTAGATCCGATCACTATTTTTCATCCTTACGGTACCATGATGCTATTGACATATCCTATGTAAAGTTGTAAACCATTGAGATCGGTCCACACCATCGTCTTCTGAAAGAAAACAGTCTATCACTCAAGGTTCAGTTGTATTAATTTCTTTGGATCAGATGTACCATAGATTGTGTTTTTGTTCTTTCTTTGGAAGCCATAAATTAGTTCCCAACAACTTTGAGATGCTATTGAAGAGCGAAATCATCTGTTGCATCATTACATTCATATATTCTTGATTTAGATTCGTGCTAATGAGAGTACTTAATAATCAGTGGACAGGGTATGAATTATGGACAGCAACACTGGAACTGAAGCATTGGTTTGATACAGACCCAAAAAAAATTGATCAGAGAAGTATTCCTCATCCACGGCCATAGCCCATAGGCCGTAGTACAGTATTGTTGGAGACATCTAAAGAAGAAAAACCCTAAATAGTATCCCTATGACCGTATCCATAAATAGGAGTACATTCACTGCAACCATTAACGCTCTTTCAGTGGTGCAGTTGTTAGAGCAAGTTTAATAGTAGAGCTCACTACTTACCATTAGTCAATGTTAAAGCTAACATGTATAGTAGATTGGCTATAAGGTTATCTTTATTTTCTTCATCCTCTCTCTTTCTCTCACCATGAATTTAATGCATATTTCTTAAAGTTTGTGTGCAGTTAGCTCTTGCATGAGAGCCAACACTCCCCCCTTTTGTTTATCTCTCTTTCACATAAGCATATAGCTTGCTTATAGCCCACTATTATCCTTGCTCTTAAGCGAGATGACCAGGCAAACAGGCCAAATCTGCAGTACTGTTCACTGGTACAAAACGTAAAGCGGCCGCTCCCTCAAACTGTAATGAGCCAGGGTGGACCAGATTAATGCAAAGCAGAAAAGCTTTGCTACCAAGATGAATTCCATGAGGTTAATCTACTCTGCTGCCGTTTTCTTTCAGTAAATCCACATGTCAGCAAGTGTTTTTTTTGCTTTACTATGTAATTAGCAAGGTAAGAGTGGTACTGATTCTTTTAGAAAAGGAAGACAGGATGACCCCATGCCTCATGTTCTTGTGGTCCAAAATTCTAACTACATCTTTCTTCTCCAACAAATCTTCTTCCATTAATCTGCTTTCTTACACGTATCCAGATGAAAAGAAATAGAGAAATAGCAAAAAGGGGATAGGAAAGTTGTGATGTGATTCTACTTGCGCAATTCGTCTATAAGAAAATATAAAGGAAATAGCACTCATCAATCTTGGATACTACTTTCGTTCCGTCGGAGCCTCAGTTCAGTTAAAGTTGCTCTATTCTGTTATTTTGTCTCATGATGGTTCACACCCGCATTAGAACATGGCATCTCTGTAAATCTTGACAACTTCGAACTAAATTCGGCTTGTAGAAAGGTATCAAAGAAGAAAAGGGTATGGAGGGAATCGGAGGAGCAGCCAACAGATTAACTTTTAGGTGGTACTACAAAGTTGTACACTCGTTGTTTCCACATGATGATAATACCTTTGATGATATTAGCCTAAAGCCCTAAACCACCTGCTATGAATTTACTCTGTTCCCCTTTAAATTTCTCCAATGCAGTTGAATATATGTTTTCTTTGTCAGTTCACTTGATTCATATTGTTTGTTGCTGAAGATATTATTCCCAGTACGTATAAAAACACCGACAGTCATTTGGTAATCCTCCGATTTTTACCAACAAAGAGGACAGCAATTAGGTGGTCTTCACCTTTCAAATGAATGGAACTGCAGAGCTCCCTTGGACCGCATGTTCCCCACTTATTTTTCCCATCGTCAACTGCACACACCTTGTTGCTGTCACACATGGCCGAATGCCGACCCCATTGTACGACAACGACGTATTTATGCCCCAAAACTAAAAGGAATCACACCTATTAGAACAGATCGGCCTTCACTATCTGGTCCATCAGATTAAATTATTTTTTCGTCGCAAGCCAACTTGATATGCTCATGAATCTTTGTCCTGCCTTCCAGTATAAAATCTCGAAGGTTTTTTCTTTTTTTTTCTTTCTCTTATTCTGAAAGTACTTCGATTCCTACCAAGAGTAAAAACAGTTGCCTCTAGTGCTAATGCAATACAACCTACAGCAATGCAGTCCATTTTATCAACTGCACTCAGAAAATAAATAAAATCTATAGTCGCGAGCTTTGTCTGAATTAAGCAAGGTATATGATGGTCGTATATGGTACTCAAGAGGAAGTGTGATTAGGTGACCAGGCTATTGTGTAGTTGTACCAGTGCAAAGACATTAATGACTTGAGTTGACAGAAGGAAGGATTAAGTGTCTAAGAAGAAGTAAATGTAAAGAAAGAAGCTGGTGAGTGGTGACCGGTTTGGTAGACCGGCCGCCGTTGTCTTTTAACTTACTTGAAGCCAGAGAAATTTTAGCTGAATGATGTGAGAGTGACTCAAGATTCTCAGATATGCGCTAATGTGCATATATAGTCGTTGATAGGAGGACTAAACATACTGCATTCTTTCATACCTTTCCTTTATGAAAATAACTCTTGGGAGTAAGCTAAATTTAATGTTTTCCTACTGATATTGGGAGACAAAAATGTTAAGATATACTCCGTATATACTCTCTCAGGTAATGGAAAATTCTAAACCTTGGAATTTTAGATAATTCGTCGCATGTATTTTACCTCACAGGAACAAGAAAATTACTTTTTTTTAATGACCGACCCCTTAATATTTACTACATTGACATTCAAACTAGACGTAGAGCATTACTCTATATGTCATCTTATGATGTAGAATAATTATTGTGCAAGCCATATGAAGAGGTAAATCTCCGTAAAAAAAAAACTAACTTCTAAAGACGAATTTGGACAAGTATCCGTCTAAGTTCATATTCAGAAGTTGGTTTTTTCGTGACGGAGACCGTATTCTCGGGTTCCCACTTTAGTCGGTTCATTTTGACTAGTGGACAACCAACTTGAACGAAATCGTCAGTGCACCATGGACTAAAAAAACCTTGGAACTAAAATAGTCTTGGGCCTTGTTTAGATCCCAAAAAATTTGGCAAAAAACGTCACATCAAATGTTTGGACACGTGCATGGGGCATTAAACGTGGGGAAAAAAACAATTGCACAGTTTGTATGTAAATTGCGAGACGAATCTTTTGAGCATAATTACGCCATGATTTGACAATGTGATGCTACAGTAAACATTTGCTAATGACGAATTAATTAGGCTTAATAAATTCGTGTCACAGTTTACAGGCGGAATCTATAATTTATTTTGTTATTAGTTTACATTTAATACTTCAAATGTGTGTCCGTATACTTCAAAAACTTTACACCCAAAGAACTAAACACACCCTTGGTTGCTGAGTTTCTTCGACGATCTAAGCAATTTCCAAAATGGTCTTATTCCCTTCACTGTTTAGTCTTGGGATTTTGGAACACAGTCACACTGCATTTTTGTACCAGCATCACTCCATATTTTTATTACTTTATCCCAGCCAAACATCCACTTTATTTTCTTATATTCCAAAGGGGACAAACGAGGCAAAGGAAAAGAAATAACAGCGCCGGCAGAGGGAAATGAAAAGAAAAGGGGTAGTGGACGAGAGAGCAGGAGCAGTGGTGGCAATGGCACCAAAGGCAAAGAAGGCCCCAATTCCCAACCACCGCCACCTCCCTCCTCCTCATCAAGCATTCAGGCTCTCCTATCCCAAAATGCTTTGCTTTCCAAGCAAGCACACTCCCTCTCTGCTTTGGAGATTAGCTCTCGTTTCTCTTAGTAGCAGCAGCTGGTGTGGCAGCATCTCATCTCATGATCTCTGATTCTTCACGGCTGCTGCTCTCTTCCCATCTCATCTCACATTTCCCAGGGCCACGAAAGAACTGGGTTGTACTGAAGTCCAAGCAGAGCCACCTACCTTCTCTTGCTTCTCTCATCTCTTGCCACAATTATTGGACCGGAAATTCATGAAGATCCTCTGCCGGTGCTAGAACATGGCAGTCTGGGTATGGCCTGAGCAGTAAAGATTTGTTCATCTTTGTTTATTGGGATTTCTTCTTTGTCACCTTCATCCCTTTAGACTCTCCCCTTTAGACCTCTAGTGTTGCTGCTGTGCTTGTGTATCCATGGCGGCAATGGCCTCTTCTCCCCCTACAACACCAAATCTCGGTTCGCAGCCTACATGGGTGCCCTATGAGCCAACCAGGGATTGCTCCCAGGGCCTCTGCAGCATGTACTGCCCGCAGTGGTGCTACTTCATCTTCCCGCCACCGCCGCCGGCCTTCGACATCACCGGCTCCAGCTCCGACGACTCCTCCGGCCCAACCTTCTCGCCGCTCGTCATCGCCATCATCGGGGTGCTCGCGAGCGCCTTCCTCCTCGTCAGCTACTACACCATCATATCCAAGTACTGCGGCACCTTCAGCTCCCTCCGGAACAGACTCCTTGGCTCCAGCGCTCACCGCGGCAGCGGCGGCGGCGCCGACGGCGGAGACAATTCCAGGAGCCAGGAGCCGTGGAGCGTCGCGCTGTCGGACGGGATGGACGAGACGCTGATCAACAAGATCACAGTGTGCAAGTACAGGCGCGGCGACGGCTTCGTGGACAGCACGGACTGCTCCGTCTGCCTCGGCGAGTTCCGCGAAGGCGAGAGCCTCCGGCTGCTGCCCAAGTGCAGCCACGCCTTCCACGTCCCGTGCATCGACACCTGGCTCAAGTCCCACTCCAACTGCCCGCTCTGCCGCTGCAACATCGCGTTCGTCACCGTCGGGATGGTCTCGCCGGAGCCGGAGGCCCGCGTTCCACGGGAGGATAGGAGAGACAACCACGAGCTGGTCCTGACAATTGACAACCCGGAGCATGTGCGCGAGGAGCCACAGAACGTGGTGACCGGTGTCGCCGTCGGCAACGGCGGCCGCAACCACGAGGCGAAGGATGGTCCGGGGAGGTCGGAAGATGCAAATGGCACAGCTGAGATCAGAGAAGACGGCGCCTTGATGCCGCCCACAAGGGCGCCGTCGTCGTTGTCAGACACGCACCGTGAAGGCCGGATGTCCATTGCCGATGTCCTGCAGGCGAGCCTGGAAGACGAGCTGATGGTGGCCAGGGAGAGCGGCCTCCTGGCAGGCTCTTCGGGGTCCTCAAGACGGTGTCACGGGGAGCACAGCAAGGACGGCGGCGGCCGCAGTGGCCGGGCATTGCCGGACGGCGCGAATATGAAGAGATTGGCGCCGGCCGGGAGATCATGCTTCAGCAGCAGGAGTGGCAGAGGAAAGGACTCCGTTCTTCCAATGTGAGGCAACCAAGGTGGTTCTTTTGACAGGGAAACATGACAAGAAACTTTTGTGTGTTCTTCCGGTGGAGATCAAATGATCAATGTGCCGGCTGCATCTGCGATGCGCGTATGGGGATTTCATCCTGTTTTGATCACTTCCCGTGATGCCCACATGCTGAAGAAATCCTTCTCCTGCAATGCATGGTGAGTGGTGAGATCTCCTACATGTTTCTACTAGATAACTGTATAGGGTTTGAGAAGTTTTCCTTTTTCTTTCTTTCTTCCATGTTGCCACCCCTCTCTATACAATTGGGATCTGCTCCAGAGCAGCCTCTCTGGATTAGTGAGTTAGGCATTACTAGATCAAAGACTCTCCAAGTGAGAAGTGTGACACTTTCAGTTCTTTTTCCACCTCCATTTTTGTGTGCTTTTGCGTCTACCATTTTATCTTCCTAGGTGTCATTGTGGCACAATTTGGGGATTGAATGAGAACCGTGGCCAATTCAGCTTGATCCATGCCCAGATCTCATCTCAGGCTCTTCAGATGTTTGCACAGTTTAGGTGACCAGTGACATCCTACTCAGAATGCCAGCTGTATAGACATTGGTAACACATCCCAATCATACAGGTTTCTATTACGTACAACAATTTGAGTGCCCGTCCTGGTCTTCAAATAACATGCGTTTTTCATATGTCAGACGGCAGTTGTGGTTTTCAAATAACATGCGTTTTTCATATGTCAGACTGCAGTTTGGTTAGGTTGAAGCAGTACTAGCTAGATGAGCAACTGTCTATCCATGAAACGTATACTCAACCCAGTGATCTCATTAGTCACAGGCTCACAGGCTTCTGATGTTTTTCTGTACTCCTAAGCTCCAAATGACCTCCATATGCTGCTGTATTGGCAGGATGCAGGTTTTCTTTGGGCAGTTCTGGCTCATTCAAAGTTGACATCAAAGCCCTTTGTTTAGTGCATTGATGCTTAGAAATGTGTACATGTTTGGGGTTAGAGCTGGCACTTACTTATCCATATGTATCTGGACAACAAGGCCCTTTGTTTATAGTGTTGTGATGTGGAATTTACGCAATGTTGTCCACTTTTCTAGAAAGAGGGTAAATCCTTCTATTGAAGGGTGGTTGGTGCGTGCAAGTTTCTAGATCTAATCATAAGCTTCCATCATGCATTCGATCTGCCAACTCGTAGCAAGTTTGTAACCATATAGAATGATGCATCCAATTTAAATTGAACATATGGCATAACTTGTTCGCTCTCCAAATCGCAATGTGCAAGCAAAAGCAATCCGGATTCAGTTTTTTCTTGCAAGTTTGGGGGGGGATTGGAACTTATACCTCAGTACTGGAGCGTGGTGGCGGAGATAGGTGAGCGGGTTGGAGACCCAAGAGGGACAGGATTACAAGAGCGCAGGTCTCTGATGGCGGTGGGGTCCTGGATTGGAGCAAAGAGGAGGGGTGGTTACTGGTTACGGCGCTACGCGACTTGAAGGTCGAGGAGAAGACAAGGGTTCAAGGGAATGGGAGGGGATGCTACTGACCTTGACGCAAATGCATTGAACGAAGAAGAGGAGGAGCTCCATCGCGGTGTGCCGGTGGCAGCGGCGGCGGCCATGGTCGCCGGTGAGGAAGGAGACGCGAAGAGGAAACGGAGTCGGTCTCGGTGGAAGTATGTGCAGCCCATTAAGCCCAAGAAAAGCCCATCCTTTCTCAGTGCTACACGGCCCATATAATGGAACTTTTGCAGAAACATCCCTGTTTTAAGTATTTTTACTCCGTATTTTTCCATAAAGACCCCTTTTAGGATCACGTTCCCATAAAGACCCTTTTTTGCGATACAATGTTTTGCAAAGTGATCCAGCTTCTTGCGAATAGTTTAGAAAATCGTTGACGCTGGCTGGTAGTCGGGGACTCGAGGTGTGGACGCAGCCGACCATGGTTGATTGGTTGGTGCCGTGGTGCGTGCAGCGGTGCAGGTTTCTCTACCGAATCATGAACTCCTCTCTGCGTTGCGACTTTATGTTACAAAGTACTCCGTCGCAATACATAATAACCTAAACCTAGAACTAGATAAAACACAACGAATTTACACACATCTATCCCAATACAATAAATATAGACAGTGGCTATAACTAAATTCGTTGTATTAATATATATTGCATCCAGTTCTAAATTGCTTGGGACGAAGGGATTACTATACATTTGATTGCCTCGTCGTTATCGAAAATTCCGGAACCCGGAGCCTAATAAAATGCCCCGCACGATGCATTCGTTGAGTCACTTGCAAGTAAAACGACCAAGCAATGTTCTGGGATAGATCTGATCGGAGTTGTCATCTTCTTCACCTCGGAACTGAAATGGAGTATAAAACTAAGCAATTCAATATAGTATGTCATCGACTGACTGCTGGACTATTTTGCATCATATTGGTAGACATGAATTCTTTATCTGGGAGCACGTTCTTTGCCTGTCAATACGCACTGCCCGGATCACTGCATCAATCATGAACAATCAGTGCGCCAAGTTGAACAGTGTTTGACTGGTAGGCGCCTTGCTCGCAGGTGCTCGAAGAGTGGTCAGGCGCACACAGATAAAGGAGGAGCTCGCTCAGGTCATGACGCCGTCACGGTGAGGAGCTCCCGGCAGCGGAAAATAAATAAATTAATGGTTTTCCAGAGTGTGATTGTTTTTTTTTCGAACCGCAGCATACATGCAAGTGTTCATAATTAATACGCACATACTCACTCATATGAATACACATGCAAACCCTACATATACAAGTACTTCCAAAAAGCTGATTCGATATATCTTGAGATAGACAAAATCATCAGACATCTCGTTGTAAATGGGTACATCGCCTACCACTAAAAAAGTTATCCATAAATACAAGCATTCACATCAAGTATAAAACTTAAACCTGGATGAACCGCAAGGAAAAAGTTTGCTGGATGAATTTGCATGGTCATCTAGGTTTGATTCTTGTTCTTGAAAAACTCCAAAGATTCTTGGTGGAGTAAATTTCACTCCTATTCCAGATGCTCTGCACATATCACTGCATGTTTGTTGTCTTTATCTATCAGTCTGTCACGAATCACAGCCCTTTTTTGCCAATACGGAGATTTAGCAGTAACCTTTGCTTTTAATAACTTTCTTCATCCAAACTTGGTTGCCTTTTAATATTGACTGTTGGCACTATTTAATTTTACGTCTAATGGCTCGTATTTGTTTGAAAAGTAAAAAATTAATTGAAAATGTGATATATTATCGAAGTACTAGTTATCATTCACGTGCAAGGCACATGTTGACAATATATAACTAACAAACAATTACGAATGGAGAACAAAATTTTATAGGTTATCCTAAGATGACAATTTGGTCAGTGATATCTATAAAAACCTTGTGTTCAATTACAATTTTCTGACCAGCAAAGGTAAAAAAAAATATTCGCAAAAGGTACGAAATTGCCACCTAAAATTCATACATTGCACTGCTGCTACTTCCGTAAACAAACATTTGTGATCTAAATTTAAATGATTGTCAGCTAGAAGTGATACAGTAAGTAGTAAAGAGAATAACTATCAGAGCATTCTTTTCTTACAGAAGAACAAATTAATTCCTTACAGGAGAATAACAATTGATCTTATTTTCTCATTGCCGTAAAACACAATAATTTGAAGGAAAAGGAGAATTTTCCTATTCCCTCAGCTGAATTTACCCAAATTACTCCCTAGAAAGGACAATAGTTTACGAATATACAATCAGAGTAGACGATGCATTTGATAAATTGTCTATCTTTTACGGTTTTACCTAGATACCCTCCATCTTTACAGCCAATTCAACAAACAGGATCATTCTAGGGCTAGCTAGTTTAAGAAAGCTGCACAAAATTAAGTACTCAAAACTTCTGTTAGAAAGAACATATTTATGCTCCATACATTCTCTGCGGTGGGTTTTATTTTTTGAGAAAAAAGGAAACATAAATACATATTAACATTCCTGAAAATGAATTAAGATGACCAAATTATATATTCAGGCATAAACTTTTATCTCACTTTAATCTATGCACTAAAACTCTATTTGAACTCCTAAGACCAGTATGCCACAAGAAAGCATGCACACCATGGAATCCTAAATGGTCACTCTGAATTGACACTTGCCAGTTTCTACAACACATTTAATTCCATGGATGGCCAGTAACAATGCACGTGCAATGCACGAAAAGGCTAAGCTAAATTCAATCAAATATATTGCTCTGTAGATTTACAGACAGAATAGCGTGAAGCTACGCAAATAGACAAACCATATTATTTAATCAATTGTACAAAATGCGAACCTAGCTTATACAATGTACCTAACCAAATCAAGAAACCCACTTTGAGTGCAGATTCAGTACCAAATGTGCAAAATTTCAAGTACATGACCAATTCATCTAGAGTATGAGCATTCAGTTCCAAACTCTGAAGTATAAACCATCAGAAGCAAAAACAGAGATAAAAAATTGTGGAGACAAAGCTTAAACCGTCAGAAATAATGGTGGTGTCCAAGACACCATGATCTCTGTGGACCATGTGATCGTCAATGGGGGATGACCATCATTGATGGGTCAAGGTTGATTCCGCCGGCGCCTAGGATCAGAGCAGGCAATCAGATTATCACTTGGGAGCTTGATGCGTACATGGACATGGGCCATGGGGACATGGTCATAGTGTTCTTTCTGTCCTGCCCTGATCCCCTTAAAGCAAAAAAGAAAAAAAGAAAAAAAACCAGCAAAATGACATGTATACTGCTACCATCAGAAAAAGAATTGAGTTCCGAAATTTTTGAAATGATTGCAGCTTCAATACAGTAACAGGAAGAGATCTGAACTTCATCACCAAAGTTTATAAAAAAAGACTGAACTATAATTCATGTATGGCCCTAATATCACTATACCAGCAAAATGGCCAGTGGTTTCACTGTCATGTCAATGGTTTACATGTGAATTACAAATGTGAATTTCAGTTTACTGTAACAGTTCCCATATGGATTAAGCTCAAAACAAGTAAAAACCTGTCGAAATCTTTGTCACCCTTTCCAATAGGTTCATCAAGTTAAGCAACCTCTGAACCTGGTATTTCCAATAAAGTCGTTTTGATCACATTCTCATCAAGAAATGGAAAACGTGCAGTACAGATTAGATCGCTAATTCTAATTCATAACGCACAACAGAAATTACCTCCTTGGCTCCTTGCCATTGTCTGAAATGCACCTACCATCTCTTCCCAAATATCTTTTTCAGATTCTCTACACATCTATAAACTCATTTCCTCATCAAGTGAAACCTGGTGAAAATACAGGCACAAAAAAAGATCAAGATTTGTGCAGTTGCAGTGCAACATCTCAAAGAGTATGCATTGCACAACCTAATATGCAAATATACAACAATCATTATTTTTGGGTAAATACAATAATCAAACTGGCGCTTACACACATACCCTCCAATTTGCATGATTATATCAGAGTGA